ATGCAAATAATACTTTGCACATGAACTTGAGGGTGTTGTTTTCTGCATCTTGAAAAGATATTCTTATGTTGAACTAAAATACACATTTTTTCTTATTTTCTTTCGTTATGTAAACAATTTAAGTTTACAATAAAAAAATTATCAAGCAAGCGAAAAAATAATTGCAACACTGTTGTTTAAATTAAAGGTTGAAAGCGAAGTAACTTATGTTTAAATGTAACCTTCTTTCGAAGAAGTAAATATATTCTTATTCGTATTACTGTAAAAACCCTGATTGATTGAATACAAGTTTACAATGACACTTACATGTGAGAAGTCGAGGCCTTCCACGCCGTGTATATACAGCAACATTTCCTGTACGTTTATAAAGTTGTCGAATTTTACAAACAAAAGTTTTCTCTACAAATAACGCTCGAATTTTCGTTTGTCGTAAATAAGTTCAAGATAAATAACCCTCCACCGAATATCGTCCGATAACCTCTTCATTTTAATCAGTAAACTAGTAAAATCAACAAAGAACAGCCTACGAACACTAAAAGCGATTTAAAGTGCGCGCCTTGTCAGTGTTTGTTACGCTATTTATTTTTCAACTGTTTCGTTGTAATTGTGAGCTGAGAAAGTTAAGTTAAACCGAAACTAGTTTTTACAATAAGTTCGTTTTGTAGTGCGATCACAAACCGTAGGAATTTAGCCCACAGACATACATTAACCATGGTTTTTATACTTGGATAATTTTACCCGCTTCAAGCTGTGCCAGGTTACCAAGTGGTCGAGTGAATSMCSKTCRARTRRAAGTTTAGCGTCCGAAAAAAAATTCGAGAGTTCGCACTSATTTGAAATCGGGTGTAAAAGACGTACTCAGTTGGAGGTGGATGTTTTCTTGGTGGCATTTCTCTAGCAACACCAAACATCACAATTTCAAGGATATTCTTGCAATACCATTCAACTATACTGCGAGGTACTTTCATTTCTTGCCTTGTTCCAAGCCATTCTAGAGTCTGGTCAACCATCTGTTTCCTGGTGGAATCGTTGATAACGTCCTTCGGTAAGCACCGCATTTGGATAGACAAGCGCTGCAGCTGTGTCTCGATTTCAGCGATCACCTAAACATTCACCCTCATAAAACTAAGCTGGGAATATTTTCAGTCGTTTTTTAAAGAGGTTTACCAGAGTAAAGCCTGGTTCCCTTATACAATCTACAAACATCGATTCAAAAGAAAAAGTTTCACTAATTCCTGACGTTGGCTTTCTCATTGCTTATATCATCCTTTGATTTATCAACAAGCAATAGCATGCAAAATAAATCTGTCCAAATCATTTCATATCAATTTTTGAACTTATGACTAGTTACCAGACAAGCTACAATCACTTTCTAGTGATACTATAAAAGCGATGATTTTTGCAATTGTTGGCTCAATTGTTGCGTTTGATACTGAACAACACTTTTGTTGTCTCTTCTTTTTATCACATCTCAAAAGTGAAAAAAATGCTTGCGTAATTAATCATGAACAGGTCTAACCTCAGGCTTAGGCTTTTTGTGATTGAGTGGAACCAGATGAACGATCATTCCCGAGTTTGGGGGGATATTTTTTCCCGGACGGCCTTCGTGTTTTTCTAACTCTTCCAACATACCAATGGTATAGTCAAATACATCGTACAGCATCTGGGTACTCGCTGAAAGATATAAATACATTTGAAACAGTTTCTGAGAACAAGTTCGCATTTCAAATATTTGTTATAGTGTACAAAATCAATTCTGAAGTTGTCCTTCATAAATCGGGAATTTTGACGCCTTCGTCCAGTATAGGTGTGTAAGATATTAGCAATTGTTAATGAAAAAGTCTGCATTTGGAGAAATCAGCGGTATAACTCTTGAGGAAATTAAACGATAAAATTTAGACTTTAGGGTGGATTGGGAGCGATAGCACTATGGTTTTTCAAATTCTGAATACTGAAACTCAATGAAAAGGTGGCAGTGATAGTATAGTACTTCTGTACGTACAATCATGACATCTTTCAAGTCTTCAAAATAACTCATATATGTCCCGTTAAATCTGTTTAAATTGAGAATGTTGCTCTTCTGTTTTTAGGCGGCATTATTAAAGGATTAGTTTATCTTGTTAGCATGTATAAAATAGTAATAGTATAGTAATTATTAGCAAGTTATGTACAAGATCTCTAATGGTAACACTAGTCATTTTACAGCGTAATTGTTTTTAACAATTATCATTCTTTCCAACCGGTCACCGATTTAGCTAGTCTCTTATTAAATTTCATTTTCCCCTCCTTGTGTTATACTTTAGTCGAGTTTGTCAGATCAATCTACCATGATTGTCTAAAGTTTAGGTTATATTCTGATATATGCCGCTGAATTCTCACCTTGAACAGAGAGAAGATTAAAAGACTGGGCTGGTGCACCTGTGCAGTCCGCCATCGGTTGGTCTGGAGGATTAACAGATAAAACTTGTCCCATACCTGTACTGCCAGAGCAATGGATATCCGTTTGTGAAGGTGTTGATATGTTACCACGAGAAGCTTCGCTCAGTATGATTCTGAAATTTGAGGAGAAATATGTTGTATTCCATGAGTTTTGATAACAGGATTCTCTTGATTTCTATGGCATCGTGTGTCGTTACCGCGCTGACACTACGGCCATAAATAAGGAATGTTAAGAACAAAATCGATCGATTTGTATCACTAAAACTCTAATACAAAAATATAAAACAATGCACTACTAAATACATATATGCAACGTAGAAACCATGCGATTCTCACCTTATTCGTCGTCATTTATGTTAGCAAAGATTCTGTCGGTCACAGATCGCTAAGAAGGATAGCAATATTCAAGCATGAATCGATTGGCAAACAGTATTGGACCATACCCTGACACTGTCAGTACAAAACAATCAAGCTCAATAACATTTCTGCTTATCCTTGGAAGAACACGCGCGTAACACGTGCACTACGCGCATATACGCGCAACGTGATATGATGATTGAAAAAAGAGCCTGTTCGTGTCAAGTCAGCCCAAGTTGGGATATGAATCATGAACTAATGTATTATAAAAATGCCTGTAACTTTATTCTAACCAAGTTTGAAGCTTTCTTTATATCAAAACTAGAAACGACAAATTGTTCAACATTATGCACAATTCTTAGAACAGTAAGTGTTTCTATTTCTGATAGACATACGTTATTTATAAGTTCTCGGAAAAAATGCGCACAGCGCCTTTGTTTTCATTTGACCGTGCAACGAAATGTATTCTTTGGTAAGGAACAAAAGAAACAATAGATTCCGACTACGGGTATAGACCCCTTGCATGTGACGTCAAAGAAGCTTCATCTGGAGGACAAAACAAAAGATTTTTGCCCTCTTTGGGAACTAGAATCTATTGCATTCCCACGAACTGCAAGGGGTCTATTACATTCTTTGGCGCTAGCTTCATTACATAATGCATTATTCATTCAGACGATTCGGTCTTCTAACTTAGACGTTCATCATACGTTACATAAAGATCGCGCCTTTTAATTACTAGCGTTGATCGGAAATTCTTAACTTCTAGCGCGGTTCTAGAATTTCTATTCTTTGCATAGCAATGTTTGGTAAATGCCAGGTATTGCTATCGGCATGTACTTTGCGGATGTGTGTTTTCATCTCCGAGTGGCATGTGTCAATCAAGGAAAAGTCGCTTGTTGAGATCTTGTTCTTTGTTCACTATTCTGGGGGTTCTTGAAATGATGAATACCGCTCTTTGTTGATTACGTTCCTTTGATGTCCTTGGAGTCCCGTCTTCAGAGTTTATTAGTCTGCCTATTCACGATCAATCAAAACGACTCTATATTTCACATTAGTAGAAATATCATTCTTATTTCTGGAACTAGTACTTGTAATTCATGCGTGCATTGTATTTTCATGCATCTCTGACAAAAATGTCCTATTACTAAAGAGTATTCGGCTAGTTTTTATCTAATTTTTTTGGATTTCACAACGTTCAACATGATTCGGCACTTCTTGGAATACTGTGTATCCTATTAATTATTAAAGCTTTATCGACATCTGGGAGATTTAGGCACTCCACTGTTTCTGATATTCCAAAATATGTTAACGAAAAGTTTCTGGTTTGGCTAGTTTGAACGATTTTAACGACCATAGTTCGATATACAATATCCACAGTTCTCGCCGCGGAAATATGTACTGGTTTTATATAAGCCTCCTAGTTCCTTACAATATAAATAAATCTCGTGTCACTTCTCAGCAAAGTTTGGCATTGTTAGAAATATCCTCTCTGTCTACTATTTTGTCCTAAGAAAGATGTTTACAAAATGCATTAATTTTCCGGGAAAAAAGACTGCATTAAAAAGGGAAATCATTAAAAATCACTTTAGATTTATACATGATAGAAACCGAACAAGACTAACCAAACAACTAACTGCTATATGTTATCAATCAAGAGACAAGCATGTTGCTACACATTTATTCTGTTCAGCCCAACTACACACTCGATCATATCTATATATTTTGAAGTTGATTTTGGACTGATAATTTTCCTACGGTGCTTTTTGACAAACGGGAGTCACACGATGGTCTAAGGTACATCAGAGGAAGGCGCACCTGGATACAATATGCTGGCTCCAGGACCAGAGGAACGAGAAAGCCCCTGTGATTGATATGATGAATGGGTACGAAGAGATTTGCCGTGATATTTTCTTGGGTTGTGTCGTGGCAAGTCAGCGTCACGTCGGTCTGGACGAGATGAAGCTCTACCCGCGTACAGTACGCCTGTACCACCAAATGAACGAGGTTCAAATGCCTGTGATGGATGTGATGAATAGACATGAGAAACTTGTCGGCCATGATGCTGATCGTTGTATTGGTCGTATTGCGGCATGAAAGCGTCATTTTGGTCTGCAGGAAGAAAACATGCAGTCGCGGCTTGGCTAGGCATGCCTGTACGGCCAGAGCAATGAGGATACCTTTGT